ACATGACGAAAGTGCTGTAAATACTGTACCGAGTAAAGCGGATGTGCTCTTAAGATGGTTTTAAGCAAGTGTAGTTGGTAGGGGGGGTCGCCTATACTACTACTACTACTACTACTACTACTACTACGTCTTTATCCGATTGCCTGGGTCTTCGTGTGTTGTCCGGAGGTAAACATTTCAAAAACCCGACCGCTACTGACCCCAGTGGACTCGGAATGCGCAGCTGGTATCAACGTTTCCAAAGAGAAGTGTAGGCAAATGTTGCAGACTCCAGACAAACCCTTGAACTGGACTCTCTCACTGCCTCAATCCTTGATGCACTCAACGGGAAAAACACTCAAGAGCTAGAGCCCAACCAGCGCAACCAGTTGGGGAGGGGGCTCCTCTTCGAAGCTGCGCCGCCTCATTCTCAGTCGCCTTACCTAGATCGCCGAGACACAGGGGATAGGAGAAGGCCAGAGTTCTTAGGTTGGCTTCACAGAAAAGGATTCAACACTTCAGACCTGGGCACTTTTGATACGGTCCGTTTCAAGCAGAAGGAACATGCCTGCCACGACAATTATCCAGACACGCTGGGCCACAGCAGGAACAGCTCGAAGGAAAGCACTTGGACTTTCAGTGTACAAACCTCGCACTGTGCGCCACCTGGCAGCAGAGCGGCCCGACGAACAATCACCGACTCAAGACTCTGTTCCATTCTTCTCGATTTCGGAATAGATACAGAGAAACGGTGCTTGCGAGAAGCCCGGCCACTCAAAGGCAAGATACCAGCACAGAACACCGCCAGTGAGATTTAAAGCAGCACGGACCGTGTTCCTTGGATCATCCAGCTGGCAGGCTGAGAAGGCTTGAACAAAAGCGTAGATGCTAGTTCGCGTGACATCTACTCCGTCAAACCTTTAAACTGCTTACCGTCCATTGACATTGAGCTATAAGCAGCCCCAATGCACAAGGTAGGCCGGAATTCTTTGCCATTCCCATGCTGCAGACTCCGGTTGCGGCCACCAGGCAAATCACGCCCAAGTTCACGTGCTCAGTCCACCCCTTGAAGTCCAATACCCAGGCTAAAAGTATGCCGGCCAAGGCAGCCAAGCCCATGTGCTCCATGGCACGCCAGATCTCTTTCCAGTCCGATGCCCGGGCAATCAAGATGACTTTGCCCTGTTCCTGCGCAAGGTAAGCTTCGTAGCAACACCAGAGCCTAGTGTAAATGGAGCAATGCCGGTTCGGCACCACCAGCACGGTTTGTGAAGCTTGCAAAGCGAGCGCGAAAGGAGAGTGCTGAGGGGACTGCAGCAGGCCTGTTATGTCCAGATGCTGCGGGTTCGCAAGCATGCAGCACCAAGCTTGTCGCGCACTGTGCGGCCAGGAGTGCATGACTTTGGACAAGAATTCGAAGATTCCCTCCTGCCACGCATGGCTGATGAAGACATCGCAATCCAGGCCCTCTGGGTTTCTCATTAACGCCCAGCTCATCTTACCGGCAAGATCTGTGACCGGCTTGATGTGCTGCTCGGTCACGGTGTAGATGCTGGGTCCGTAGTGGCCATCAGCATCGAGAAAATTGTCCGTCCCATCGTCGGGCGGTTTGATCTCCCCTGTAGCAATCGCTCGTCGAACTTCCCGCCTTAGGTACTTAAGATCCGAGAAGGTTACGCACCAGCGATCGGGCGAGATCCGCTGGTGCAGAGCCACAGCATGTACTGTAAGTGGTATGTCAGATCTTGCCATTGAAGCTCCAACGGAAGCCATGCCACAAACTGACAGACATATGAGAATGAGCAGCTAATCACACCAGAATGAACAGCGACTCACACGACGCAGAAAGACAGCCTAAGAAATTCTTCGCAAATGCTTCTTGTCGGGAGAACATGTCCTGACTGGATTCTGAGCACATGTGGTCATGCCTGTCATTGGTTCTGCCGGGTTGGTCGTTGTGTCGATGATCAGGCAGGGCGCGGCCAGAAAGCAAGCAGTCCAGAGATGCAGACAGTCAAGAGATGGACACACCCAAGGCCGTACTTGGGAGCACCAGTTTTACATTCTGCGAAATCGCAAGTCATCAAGCTCTCAATGCCTCATCATCGATGGATGAGAGGTCCTTGCTGCAGGAGTTGGGAACGATCCGAAGCTGTCCTCCTACATGGTACTCTGCTGGGTTACGTTTTCGTATCGAACGGCCGTATGAGAAGGCAGCCTGATGCCGCGGTCGCCTGCTGTGAATCATGTCCTTCTAAGTTGCCCGAACCCTCGAAACGGTTGCTGCGAAAAATGAGGGCCCGGCTTGCACGAGCGCTGCGAGCTGCTGCCTCGGGGCGCAAAGCGGCTAGGTCTCTTAACTCTGCGCTTTCAAGGCCAGGTATTTGGCTCACAGCGCCTTTCGGTGTTGCTCGTCTGTGCTTCCCTACTTTCGCACGGTTCGGATGGTGATTAAGGCCTGGGCTTAGGTTGCCAAATGGGCGAATCTCGAGCCGTGTTGTTTACCGCCGTGACAGAGAAGTAGTCATTACTGGTTCAAGTACTTGCCGAGCAAAGCCATTAGTAGCAGTAGTAGTAGTAGTAGTAGCAGCAGCAGCAGCAGCAGTAGTTGTAGATGTTGTTGTTGTTGTGGTGGCGGTGGTGGTAGTGGTAGT